CGCATTTGAGCTGCGATTATTGTAAGCTTAAATTAGATATGTAAAGGTAATACAATATAGGCTTGAAGCATGTTAGCTCTTTTTTTCTCTCTCATATATGAATGCCTATTGTTAGATTTTTTTTTTTACTTAGGAATAAATAGTCTAATTATATTTTTTATTTTTATAACATGGTGGTCTTTAACATAAATTTAGAAATATTAATTTAAAGATAGATTTCATACAATGAGGCCATTTGAAATCTCTCTCTCTCTACTAACAATCTCTTCCACTAAATTTATTCTAGCAACCTAAAAAATTAGAATTTTAAAAAATTAAAGTGTTATTTCAAAAATTGGTACGCATTCTAATAATTTCTACATTGATAAGCAAATCTTGTATTTTATTTGCATTATAAATTATGTAATGTACTATTTTTCTTACGGTTGTCAATAATATAATTTAAAGTAGATGATATTATAAGATATTTTGGATTTGTTATTATTTGTATTGTAAAATAATTATAAAATGTAAACCAACAGTTTCAATTTCAGTAAATAATATTATAGTTAGTTAGGTTGTAATAATTTGGGTTTTTTTAGTGTAGGGTTTTTTGCCAATTCGAGATTTTAGTGGCCATTTTTTCATCGATTTAATCCATTCTTTATTGTAGTCCATGTATTGTTATATACTTCACCCATGATAATTCTATGATTTTCTTTTGTGTGATATAAATTTAATGGTTAACATAAGTTCATACAGGGAAAGAACGTCTCAATATTCGCATATTGATGAAAAAACATGAAAGTTAATAATGTAGTATCTCATTTCTTATTGGATTCTTAGAAAACAACATTTATAATGATTTTTAAAACTTTTTTTGGATTTTTTAGTGCCAAATCCGACCGATTCGGTCGATTCTCGATCTGAACCGCCGATTCACTGATCCGGATGTGTTTTTGGGGTGCCCGATCCGGGGCACCGATCCATTTTTTAAACGACTGGTCGGCAGTGTCATCCTTCTCTCAATAACTTGAAGTTGTTAGTTCCTTCTTTGGAGTTTGTGTTTGCTTTAGAGTGTGAAGCTTGTCAGTTAGGAAAGCATCATAGGGTGCCATTTTATCATAGAGTTGACAAATAGATATTTATTCCATTTTCAGTGGTTCATTCTAATATATGAGGTCTAGCTAGAGTTCGAAATTTGTCTGGCCATAGGTAGTTTGAAACTTTTGTGGATAATCATTCACAAATGACATGGGTTGAATTTAGTAAAAGAGAGAGATAGGATTTTTCCATTTTTAAATTGTTTTACAAAGGCATCCAAATAATAAGAATATTTATTTCACGTTCGAATAATGCTAAAGAGTATCTTTTTAGAGAATTCCGTTATTCTTTTGCTCAAGGTGGGATTTTAAACCAAATTTCTTGTTGGAAGGAAAAATCAACACTGACTTGAAGTAGCCCATTATTTGCTCATTAATATTCATGTTCAAAAGGTTTATCGGGGAGATATCTTGCTAACCTCATGTTATTTAATTAATCATATGCCCACTTAAGTCTTAAATGGAAAAACACTACACTCGGTTCTCTTTCCTTATGCTTCACTGTTTGTTGTTCCTCCTCTATTGTTTGGGTGTGTTTGCTTTGTTCATAAGTTAGATACTGGTAATGATAAGCTAGATACCTAGGTTTTCAAGCATGTGTTTATTAGGTATTCACACTTCGAAAAAGGTTGTCGTTGTTGTCATCTTGGTTTATGAAAGAAGTTTGTTTGTGCTAATGGTACCTTTTTTTGAAAACACTGCTTACTTTTCATAAGAGAGACATGTGCTTGAAACAAATATTTTTTACCTTGCTTCTGAAGATGTCTCAAAGTCCTTGCCTTCTATGATTCCTCTTGTATTCCTATTGATACTTCTCCTTTGCGGCAGTTACCTGATTCCATTGAATTGAGTACATCTACACGTCATGAACTTTCATAGGAGCAGCCCATAAAGGTTTACACCAGAAGAAAAATGCAGGGTGGGCATTCCCCACCAATTCAACTGGCCACTCAGTCATCATGTTTGTCTACCAATCTACTTCCTTCTTGTGATGGTGATGTACCTATTGCCATCCATTAAGGTATCAGGTCCTGTACTCAACAATTGCACAATTTCTTACCTCTACAAATTTGTCTCCATCATATAAAAGTTTTGCTTTAGCCCTTTCATCTATTTCTATTCCTAAGACCTATCAGGAAGCCCTTTCTCATACTGGGTGGCAGAGAGCAATGGTAGAGGAGATAGTGGCACTTCATTCAAATGATACATGGGAATTCATTGAGTTACCAACTGGAAAATGACTATTGGGTGTTGATGGGTTTATGCACTCAAATATCTACCTAATGGCACTGTAGAAAGATTAAAAGCTCGATTGGTAGCCAATGGACACAAACATTTGGTATCGACTACTCTGAAATATTTACCCCTGTTGCTAAACTTAATTTAGTTCGAGCGGTTATATTTGTGGCTGCCAACAATGTTGTGGCAAATTGATGTCAAGAATGCTTTCCTCCATGGTAATTTACAAGAAGTGGTGTATATGGAGTAACCACCTGGTTTGTTACTCATGGGGAGTCGGATAGAGTATGTAAGTTGAAGAAAGCCATTTATGGCCTGAAATAGTCCCCACGGGCATGGTTTGAAAAGTTTAGTGCAATTGTTATACCATATGGATTTCATCGCCGTCGTGCAAATCATTTAGTGTTTCTTGAATACATGACTCCAGTATAATTGCTTTAGTTGTCTATGTTGATGATATTGTTGTTACTGATCAAGAACAATCCGTCATTTGAAGGGACGTTCGAAGCAATATGTTCAGACTAAGGATTTGGACCAGCTAAGGTATTTTCTGCGAATCAAAGTAGCCAGATTGAAGCATGAAATTAGTTTGTCTCAAAGGAAATATGTGGTGATTTATTGACAGAAACTGGAATTTGGGCACTAGACCGGTGAATACGCCAATGGATTCAGGGCGATTTGTTTGAGGATTTGGGAAGGTACAGAAGATTGGTAGGCAGGCTGATTCATCTGACTATTACCAGGCCTAATATTGCTTTTGTAGCAAGTGTTGTGAGTCAATTTATGCATATACTTTGATGTCGACTTTTGATTTACAAGCCAAATAATCATTTAGCCATTGAAAGTTACTCAGATTCTGATTGGGGAGGTTCACCATCTAACAAGTGGTTTACCACAAGTTATCGTACATTTATTGGTGGAAACATGGTAACATGTAGAAGCAAGAAACAAAATATTGTGTCTAGATCTAGTGTAGAGAAGGAATACAGAGCAATGGCACATACTATATGTGAATTGATGTGGCTGAAAACACTAATTCAGCAGATGGGTTTTACTGTTGTTGAACCAATGAAGATGTATTGTGACAATAAAGCTTTTACCTATATAGCCAGTACAATGTTTCATGAAAGGACCAAGCATATTGAACTAGACTGTTATTTTATAGGGAGAAAGTCACTAGTAAGCAGGTGTCGACTCCATGTGTAAAATCTAAGGATCGGCTGGCATACATCTTCACTAAAGGCCTTGGTTGTAATATGTTTCAAGCTGGGCATGGGCAACATTTATGCTCTAGCTTGAGGGGGAGTGTTAAAAATCCTTTGTTATCTAAGCCCTAGGATCCAAGTGTCCTAAATCTATTTGTATAGGCAGTTTTGCCTGTAAAATTTTTTTACGGGCAGTGTTGTATTTAAGACTTTCTTTTAAATGACAAATAAGTTAAGAGGTGCGTAAGGGTTTCTTTGAACCTCATGTCACTGTCTTCTCTCTCACACGTCTTTCATATCTCTCTCTTTTTCTCTTTTCTCTCTCTAGATACTCTGGACAATCTCAAATATGCTTAATGGGATAAACTTAGACTCGCTGGGCTCAGTGTCATTTTTGATAGCTGTGTTATCCTACACTGATATGCAGGCCCATTGTGTCGATGCATAGTGAAATATCACCAAATAATTTATTTTATGGAAGGGTTTCAGATCTTTAGTGGCCCTCTTGCTGGTTTTGCAATTCTGAGAGTTATAGTAGTACACCTTCAGCTTCACTCGTAGGGTCCAAATCAAGTGTTCATACCCTTAGTTCTTGCTCCAGTTTCCTTTGTTTTTTATTTTTTATTTTTTTATGATGGGAGGCCATCGCATCCCATGGGGAAATAGGCTTGTCCCTGCCTCCTGAGCATACCAGGGACATGGGATGCTAAAGTAGCAAAGAGGAGCAAGAAAAACCAGTGTATGTGCCTTGAAATTAGTTCTTGATCTTAAGGCTTTGTTTAAACAGTAAGTAATGTGTCTGGACTGACATGTAGACTTTCTTTAGGTCATGGGCAATTTTGTTAGCAGGTGCATGCGTTGTGGCATTATAAAGTTTTGGACTTTGGTTTTTGTATTTGGATTATTTCGGGAGTATGGTTATAGGTTGGGCTTGGATTGTGTTGTGGAGCTTGTTTGGTTTTGGGATGGGAGGGTGGCCTTTAGGGCCTGGTAGTTGCAGGAACTTTGTACACTGGATGGCACTTCCACTCTGAAATTGCAATTCTTCCCTTCCCCTGAACTTTGTTCCCTAGACCTTTCTACATTACTTTTTGGAACTATTGATGTTTTACTGCTGCTGCAGCTGTTCCCCCTGCATCTCGTATCTTTAGTCTTTCAGCTGACGTACTTTGCTACTAATTACCAAATAAAAACTTTTGAATTTCCATTGAGACATGGTTTTATAGATGCTTTGCCTGTTGGTGTCTAGCATGTCTAAAATGTCTAGTACTTTTACGTAGCTCTAGAGATTCTGAGGCGAATCCACAAGGAAGCATTTTATTATCTTTTATAGTATAGATGTGTATGTGACAACAGTCACCAAGTGGAGTGTCGAAGAAACACCACTGCGGCTTTTGGCCTACATACTCATGTAATATGATCAATGAGCTTTTTGCTGGCTGTGATTGCTAATATAATGTTATCTTGTGGACAGGATGTTTTAGGAAGCATCTCTGTCATTGAGGCTCATAATAGTACCACTAGCAGCACCAATGCAAGATCAGATCAGGAACAAAAAGGTATAATTCCATGACATGAACTCCAAGATACTACATGCTTGTTATGTTGGTTTTGGTTGTAAAGCAATGTCCCATTTCTCAAAGTAACAGGGAAACCAGATCCGGTGCAACTGCCTGAACAAGCTGAGGGCTCTAGTCCTCACAGAAATGTAAGCATTTCCTGGTCATGTTTTTCCCTTGAATCTCTTAACTTGTTGCATTTGAACAAACTTGAGGGTTTACATTTTTGAACTTGCAGACAGAAACAGATGGAATTGCAAATGATGGGGGAACTGATCCTGCTAAAGCTAGTCTAAGCGATGAGATGGAGAAAGCATGTGAGCATGTGTTTGGGAGCTACTGCCTTTGGTCCAAGGAGCATAAAGAGGAGATGCATGATGCTGTGGTGAAGAAAATGAAAGACAAGTTGTTCTTGGCCAGAGCTTACTATCCGAGTATTGCAAAGCATCCACTGCGTGACAAGCTCCAGCGTGAATTGAGGCAAAACATTCAAGAATTCGAACGGATTCTCAGTGAAGCTAGTACGGATTCTGACCTTCCTCATAGGTGAGTTACTTTTGAATGTATGACTTGTGGCCCAAGTTTTCTAACCTTAATCTTAATCCACTCAAGAAAATACTTGTGTGCAACAAAGTTTTGCTTGCTTGCTTGTCTCATCATGGCTGGTTGAGAGAGGGTGAAAAATCTTGTTAGTCTGGGTAGTGTAGTATATGTTTTGTGTGCAACAAAGTTTAGCTTGCTTGCCTGTCTCACCATGGCTGGTTGAGAGAAGGTGAAAATTCTTGTTAGTCTGGGTACAGTGTAGTATATGTTTGTCAGAAGATCACTTGCGTATGAGTTTCCTGTATGCTCTCTCTCTCTCTCTCTC